CTGAGCCTTCAGAGACAATAAAGTGCCTGGTAGGGGATTTCCTATCTTTCTCCCAAGGAGCAACTGGTGGATTCAAACCGCACGCCTTTGAGTTGGCAGCTCAGCTCTTTGCCCACTAGGCCACAAAGTAGAATTAGAAATGCTCCCAGGAAGTTGACAGTGACAGGCTGGTCGACAGCATATAGACCATTTCCTTCTAGCTCGTGACCAATTTGCAAATTCTCCTGTTTACTGAATATACAAACTCGTAAGAATTCTTCTCCGTTATGTAACATGTCAGCATGTTCACTTTTAGACTACCAGGGTAGAAATTCTTCATTTTTCAAAGTACAAATTATTTCAGTAAAAACAAAGAATCTTTAATAAACATCTCCAATTTCCTCCTCTCCCCTGCCATCCTTGGGAAGTTTTACTAATATTTTTCAAGATTCAAATGGTTATTTTCCAATAGCTTCTTTCCTAGACCACTTTGACATTTTGCAGTTGTAGTTTTAAAAATAAATTAAAAATTGTCTCGTTTTTCAGTGCACAAACTGTTCCGGCTGGAGATGTGATACTGTTCTCTTTGCCAACTGTGCCTGTGTTCCCAGAACTCGCAGCAAAAATGGCATTTCAAGGCTGTGCTGACTGGAGTGATGAAACTGTGAGAAGAGAAGACCTGTCTAATGGTTTTTTGCAAAAGTTAACTTTACTAGGGAGAAAGGTAAAAAGACTTATGAAAACACGAATCCAATGTCATATAATAGACGAGAAGAAAGGTCAGTATAAATCAGATCCAAGCTTTTGGAAACTCCAGTTCATTTCTAATCCTGTTTCTAGGTGTGGCTATCTGCCTGTGAACAGCAAGGTTATCTTTGAGATGACACAGGCAGAGAGATTCGTGGCTGGTCCTCCAGCAGGTTTGGGAGTGGCAAGAAACTGCACTGCAATCCCAAAGGTACATAGTTTGAATCCACCAGCTGCTCTGCAGAAGGATGGGCAATCTCTTCTGTGATTAACTGCCTCTGAAAACCTACCAGAGGGTCAGCAGTGGGTCTGTTTCAACTTGACGGTACACAACAACAAAGGATAAAAGTAGAGATCTCTTACCTTCATTTGGGAGCTCTCGTGGCTTAGTGTTATGAACCTATGATACAATCCCAAAGGCACATTGTTTGGATTCACCCGATGTTCTGCAGAAACAGAATGGGCAATCTCTTCTGTTATTTACTACCATTGAAAATTTACTGGAGGGTCAGCTATAGGTGGGTCCAATTCAAAAAAACACAGCAACTCTCTTCATTAGTGTAAGCCTGGCTCAGGCCAGCTAATGAAAACCAGCTAAAAGCTAGTGTGGCACGTGACTGTAAGTACCTGAACACATTACCGGCCAAAAGATGAATCAAGTTATAAACATCAGTCCCTCTATTTGACCAGAGTCTACGATTCTCTTCTGGGTTTGCATCTCACCTGCTATCTTAGCTGTGCAACCTGAGACAGGTCATTTCAGCTGTCAGATGGCTTCCATATCTGTACACAGGGTTCTTTCTTGCAACTCTAAAAATAAAATGTTGATTGCCTTCGAGTTGAGCATGACTCATAGTGACCCTATGAATGCAAGGCCTGAAGCCCCCCTCCAACTATCGACATTTATCAGAGTTCATAGTTTCTGGAGGCATGTTGTTCAGAAAGTGGATGCCACTCCTGCTTTTAAAAAAAACAAAAACCACCACCACAAATGAAATAGCAAAATGATGAGACAGTATCTGCTACTCCTCTCTGGGGAAAATTTCTACTTTCCCCAAATTCTGTGGTCACACTTGATTATGACTTGCTCTGGCTGATCAATTTGATAGTTAAGGATGTGTCACTGTTGAGACCATAGAAGTTCCAAGAGCATTATGGACCAAAAAATGTGTAACATTTATTTAAACATAGTTGGAAAAAATTCCTGGGTATTGGCCTAACAGGATTAACCTGATGCAGCTTTTTAAGAAGCAAATCCCCTTTGGGATAAGCCTAGGCTAGACATCGATTGTACTGTCTCTACTTAGCCCCCATCCTGTCACTCTGGGTAATTATCAAAGATAATGGTGCCTGCCACCGTGCTACTTGATGTCACCCTAAAGTCTATTATTACCCTACTCGAAGCATGGCCCTGGCCATCAGCCTCACGTGGGAGTTTCCATACCTCTCTCCCCATCCTCACCTGTTACATGGACAGAAGAGCAGTGCCCCAGACAGGTGCTAAATCGGCAGTCCTCTAATATGTAGCATACCCCACTGTCCTATATTAATTTAGAAATTAACTATTCAGCTTTAGGGTACTGTAGCAGCATACTTTCAACTATCACATCCTTATGTTACACATCTTTTACTCCGTGATGAAATATTACACCGTGAAGATGCACAAATCCTGTTTACATAGCTTCTGCCCTCTCTGCTAATGGTGTGACTTGGTGAGTAATCCATGTGTTGGAGTACAACTATGTCCCATAGTTGTTTTTCCCCTATAGTTTTAAATGTAGGTTTGGCCTTTTTTTTTTTACGGCATCACTCAAACCACCAAACTTTTGACAACTGTGTATGCTGTTTGCACTTGTTGTTGGGTGCCATTTAGTAACGATATGAACCCTGTCCTACTCTGTGCCAGCCTCTCAAACGCTGACACATTTGAGCCTATTGCTACCATTACTGTGTCAATCTGGTCGAGGGTATTCCTCTTTTGCCAACCTTCTACCTTCCCAAGCATGCCTCTCCCAGCAAAATGCCCAAAGTATGTCAGACAAATCTTTATCATCTTTACCTCCAAAAAGCACGTGATTGCACTTTTCCCAAGACATGTTTCTTTTGGCAGTCCATGGGCTATTCAGTACTCTCCAATACCATAGTTGTTGTTAAGTGCCGTTGAGTCACAGATGACTCATAGCCACCCTATGAAGGACAGTTCTTGACGCGTGGGTGCCTTTCATGCCCTCTCCAGGTTCATAGGGTTTCCGGAGGCAAGCTATTATGGAAGTGGACGCCACTCCTCCTTCCACGCTTGTTCAATTGGGGAGCTCCACCCCACCCCACTCTGTATTGGGTTGCCAACCATTAACGCATTTGACACATCCGTGTCACAGTGTTCAGCCTCACAGCAACCACAAGTGACTGAGGGACGGCAACTTGCACACCAGGGATATACGACCTAGAGGAATGTCTGAACAAAAACAGTGAAAGACTGGCCAGAGGGCCACAAACCAAGTCACACACCTTTGTCATGGTCACATCGTTTTCTCTTCACTGGGCCAGCTGATCTCTCTCTGTTGATGTTAAGTGCTGTCGGGTCGCAGGCGACTCATAGCGACAAAGGCAAAATGACAAAATCTTGTCATCCTTACTCACTGCCCAGCTCTGATGAGAGCTATGCAGTCTAAAAAGAACACGACCTGAGCCTTCCACACCTTAGTCCTCAGTTACCATTACTTCTCACAAACTTGGAAACACACAGCAGTCTTAAGACACCTTGGCACTGGAGATTATGGAATATACCATGGACTGCCAAAATAAACAGGTATGTCTTAAAGATGCAGGCACAGTGCTTTTTGGAGGCAAAGATAATAAAGCTTCATTTCACATACTTTGGGCATGTTGTTCGAGGAGGCTATTCCTTGGAAGAAATCATGGGGGCGGGGGGGGCAGTGAAGGAGAGGAAGATCTCAACGAGGTGGACAGTGACTGCAGCAACAGGCGTCAGTGTCAGAGACTGTGAGGATGGCACAGGATAGGATTCAGATCTGCTCTCCACACAGGGTGGCCGAGTTGGACTTGACTCCACAGTAGCTAACATAGCTGTTTCAAAAAAGTCAACTCACTCTGACTCACAGGAACCTCCTACAGCATTTCCAAGGCTTTAAGTCTTTCTCCAATGAATCTTAAGCTTTGGAAACAGTTTTTTCGTCATTAACAACCCTTGCAAGCTGATGTAGAATTTTAAAACCTGTCTTAATTGTTCCAAGCAAGAATCAAGACAATTTTCCTCCTTCGGTTTTGCTATAGATATAAATATTTCAACTGTCATTCATACATCTTCTGAAGTTGCAGCCATTTCAAGGAGCCGCATTCCGTGGGAGAAAAATAGGCAGCCAACTCCCATGTGATTTACTGGCTCTGAAAAACTGGTGGAGGGTCAGCTCTGACTCAATGGCACACAACAGTTGCTGTCTTGTTATGCAGTCAAGTCAGAAATGTCTCATTGCTGACCTTCCAGTGGACTGTCAGAAACCTAATCAATCACAAGAGAAATTGCTCATTTTCCTATGGACCAGCTAGTAGACTGACTTAAAACAGCTTGCCTTTAGGATTTCAGCGCAGCCTCTTACTAAGCCACCATACCTCCCTCCCTAGCCTAAACACAGTATGAAGAATAGTAGCGTGAAAAAGTGTATACCAACTTGGCAAGCAAGCCAGCAAAAAAATAAAATTAAATTTGGCTTCTAACCTGAAGGTCAGTGGTTTGAAACTTGTTCTGTGGTAAGATGTGGCAGTCTCCTTCTACAGATTACGGCCTTGGAAACCCTAAAAGCATATCTCCCTGCCTTAAAGGGTTGCTATGCGTCAGAATCAACTCAGCAATTACAGTTTTTAAAGTCACTGTTTCATAAATTGAAAGCCAATAATAAAACCAAGTGAGAAACTATATTTAAGGTAATAGACGTGTGAAGTTTTAAAGCACTCCTTATAATAGAGAATATAAAATCTTATACACCTAACACTAAGGGATATTCTCTTAATTATACCCACTACAAACCATGGAAGCCCCAAGTTGAAGAAAAAGCAGTAATAAAAAACATACCACCTTTGTTACATTAAGCTATTCTAAATCTTTAATCAAATTCCATCATTGGCCATTATTACATGACAAAATTAGCTTTCTATAAATTATTTTGCTTTTTGTGTACAAATCATCATTATTGAAGTAATAGTAATAAAAAGCAAATACTAGGCAAAGACCTTTATTAACCTTTGTTTCAAATTTTATTCCCAGGCTTCTTCAGCTTATTTAGCTGCAAAGAATGAATTACACTTAAGCAGAAACTGAAAAGAGCTGCAATGTCCAAAAGGCTTGTTTGGCTTCAAAATATGAGAGATCTAGATTTTATCAGATCCATAAACAAAACAATTTTAAAAAGCAGTCATAATATAAAATAGCAGCTCAAAGTAACTTCATCATGTTTTATCTTCTTCAAAAGTTGACTCAAATCAGTTGGCCTCATTCTTTGAAGCCTCATCAAAATTCTCCACAAGATCTAGAAAAGAAAATTGAAAAACACAGGAAAAAGTCAAATCTACAAATCAGAATATAAACTTAACAAAACATTTGGCCAAGTGAAATAAGTATCTATTTGGCCATTCTGAAACTTTAGAAAAGCCTGCAATGTGCCAACAATGTAAACACAGGGCTCAAGAAACACACTTTGTTCTCTACTTCACGAATGAAAAATAAACATAACACTGATTAATAGGACAAAATACAATTAAACTTTTGACATTTCTCTGGATTCCTAAAGCTCTCTATCTGTGCACAGTAGCAGTACTTCTAACCTGGGTAATTGTTTCTACTTCTACCTAGTATTACTTACTAGGCAACAAAATAAATTATCCAGAAACAGTTAAGTAAATGCCTTTTGACTCTAATGCAGATTTTACAGTAGTTATATTTCAAGAACAATTTCTCCATGCCTTCTCACAGATTTCTGGATTCCAAAGTTGGGGAAAAAAGCATCACATGTGAAATGCAAATAGCTACTGTACTTAGGCCAAATTTACTCATAGTTTAGTAAGTTAGTACACAGTTAAATTAGTTTTACCACACTGGAATCTCAAGGGAAAATAAAGTCTACAATTCTAACTAGTAGCAACAACACTACATTAATTTCTCCTAGGGCATTCTAGTGTATAACTAATAGTGGCATAAACATCTCTAGAGAGCTGCACTGCCAGCCAAAGGCATGACTCTCTGGTGGTTTGAATACACCAGCCAACTGCTGCTTAGAAGATGGACAATCTCCTCTACGATCAGAAACCCAATGAAGGGTCAACTGTGAGTCAGTTCTGACTCAAAAGGAATGAGAGGATGAGAAGGGTGGGGATGAGTTTCATGGGCACCAACCACTCCTTAGCCCCAGGTAGGAGGGATAATGTTTTCTTAAATGTACAAAGATTCTTTATCCTCAATTGTTATGTCGGAAGATTCTTACCTGGAACTTCATCATCATCATCTTCTCCAGTAGCAAGTGGTGCTTTTCCATCCACAGCTATGAAAGAGAAAGGTAAATGTTATTCACATATTTATGTGTAAGTCTTCAATAAACCTTAACTCAAAAGTAGTTAAAAGTCAAGTATTTGCTACAACTATACTCTGGTGGCCTAATGGCAAGAAGCTGTGCTTCAATCACCAAGGCAGAGAGTCTGAGTCCACCAATGCTGCATGGGAGAAGGATGGGCAATCCCCTTCTGTGCAAGTAAATACCTCTAAAAACCTGTCAGAGGGTCAGCTATGGGTCAGTTCTGACTTGATGGTACACAACAATATATTCATGGTAACAATGACTTCTGGAATATTCTGATGTCTGCCATCAAGTTGCAATCAACTCATGGCTGACTCTGATGGGGGCTGTAAATCTCAAAGTTATCTTCATGAGAAGAGAATGCCTGCCCAGTTTTCTCCCACACAGTAGCTGATGGCTTTAAACAGATGGCCACTGGGCTTGCTGTATTATCTACCAGGCTGTCAGTGCTCCCTGGAGAAAACAAAAACAGATGAAAAACCAAATTCCACATTTAACTTTTAATCCCTTTGAGCTTTAAGAGACCCCTGAGGTAAAAAGGAAGCAACCAAAAGTTTAGGGTACAGGTAAACTTAATACACCAAATTATGATTAAGGTATGCTTTGGAAGATGAAGACAAGGTTTTCTCAAATTCTGTTGGCTTTGTGTACCACTGTAGGCCATGCATGACGTAAATAAAATGGTTACAAAATTTAAAGCACCTTTGGTCTACTTTTCTTATAAGCAAACTACACTCTGGAATCACTGAGTCCCCATATGGATTCCAGAGGAATAGATCAAAAGCTTACTTTGACTTTAGTCGTAAAAGCAAACACATTCTACAATCTCTTAAGCCTTACAATATGAGAAACACACACACTTTTGAAGCAGTGAGTCATCACCTAGAAAAACCTGACTGACTAAATTATAAGCCATATAATTAGGCAGACTTGCCTCTGCATTCCTCTTAGAAGTTTAACTAGAAGATCTGACCATAAAGTTTCTTCCACACTGATTTACTTGTTTAACTCATCATTTTCTGCTCTGAATAAAATTTCTACCACATAAAATCAAACAAAACTCAAACTCAGGACACTTCCACAAAGATTATAAATACCAGTGTACATAGACAACTGAAGAAATTTCTTAACTAAGTGTTAAATATTCTTAGAAATCCAGTCACATATCCCTTGCCTCTTTCTTGCTGTTAGATGCAACTGAATCAGTTCTAATTCATGGCAATCCCATGTGTAAAGTGGTGTTTCAAGGCTGAGATCATTAGCAAGAAGATCAGGCCTGTTTTCCGAGGTACCTTTCAGGAGTTCAAACTGCCAACTTTCAACTCATCATCATTTCAGTTAGTAAAGGAGTATGTAACAGTTTGTGCCACCCTTGAACTTAATACTAATGCTCACTTTAAGTCAATTATACATACAAGTAATTAACAAAAAAAGGGGAACTAAAGTCTGACATTTTATTCTTTCCCAGATAATGAAAATAAAATAATTTTTTAAAAGTCTCTGATCCAAAAAAGCTAGTAGAAAGCAGACAGTCCACTGAATCAAATAACCACCAGGTCAAAGCATACTAAGTTATTGAACACATTTAAAATTGATTTAATAGCGAATATTTTTTATAAGAAAGACTGCATTTTCAAACTTAAAAGTTATTTAATACCCATAGTGCACCCTCAATTTGCAGAAATCTAAGTAATTAAACCCCGGCAAAGTCACTAGTGAAGAGCTCACATTGTTTGGGCAGGGCTTCAGCCAGTCTTCTTAAACTACTCAGGCTATCTGCGCCAAGCTGGTTTAAGATGCTGGGTAACATTTCTGTCAACTGCTTTGTCTCAGCATGGCCGGTAATGGTGAAAGTGTTCGCTGCCAGAGATGCCTGAACTTTAGGATTATTAAAGTGGATCACCGTTCCTTGATTTGTAAACATATTCACCTGTAAAAAGAGCAATTAAAAAAATTAACATTTACTAAATTCCTTTTAAAATCAGACAGGTTTTATCAAACATGAAATTTAGCTAATGAATGTAGTATTTTACTATGAAGCACATTTATAACATCAGAGAAAGAAATGTGGCTGGTGAAATTTTACCTGGAGTGGAAAATGTATTTTCTGATGCTTTCACAGTTAGCAAGCTCCCTGACATGCCTTAGGAACTTTTAAGTTTAGAATGATATGAAATTCTCTGCTGGAAGCAGAGTTTTTTAAAAAAACATCACTTAATGCATGGACACTAAATTTTGTTCATCCAAATCTTGTTTTATGAAGAAGTAAAATTCAAAATTCAAAACTTACCTCTTCAATACCAGAGATATTGTTTACCCCTAATTTCTTTAAGGAGAACTGAAGTTTTTTGTCATCTGCTGTAGCTGTTCTATGAACCACCTTCTTCTTTCTGCGTGCAGTTCCCTTAATGGAGACAGACAATACATTTATATCTTTACAAAATGTATTTTAAAATGAACATGGCTTTTCAAACTTCTTAAGCACCATATATAACAATTATTAATCATCTCTGAATAGTAATTCAAGAAACAGCCAAACTATTATGCACAGGGAAGGCAGTGCATGAACCACCAAGGAAGTCTGAATATACACTTTTACATCAAACAAGAGTTTAACAGTAAGGTCTTAAATTAGCTGAAAGGCCTCCACAATTCCCTCAGTACCAATAATGCCAAAGACACTCATCTCTGTCCCAGCATCACTGCTACAAAGACTCCTAAGTCAACACAAGCCCTCTTGTTCAAAGGTCAATCACCATCTTATATTAGCCTTTTCCAACCACCTAATGCAAAATAGCAACTCATTATCACTGTTTCATTTTCTTCATAACATTTACCACTGTTAAGATATTTTGTTGTCTGTGCCCCCTCATGACAATCTAAATTCTTTGAAGGTTCCCATTCTATTTATTGCTCCAAAGTCAATTATCTAGAATACTATCTAGTTCACTGACAGTATTCAGTGTCACTGTAAACGAATAAAGGGCAGCTGTGGCCTCTTCCCTCACATGGTAATTCTCTAATCTCTTTGAAAAGCTATCTTATATTAAAAACTAGGCAAAAATTACTATATTCCTATTAAACTGTTCGATAACTCTCTCATGGACTTTCTCACATAGATCAATCCCTTTTACATGGCAACCACTACATACCTACCTCTTCAGCTTACTGTCTCCCAATGCCCAGCTGATTACTATTCTTCCTTTAAAATCCTGCTCAAGCCATTACCATTTCATTGATGCAGTCTCTAACTACCTCCTCCGTATCAATTTACTCCATTATTGTATTTGAAAAAGCCTCTAACACATCACATATATCATACTGTGAAAAAAAAAGGTAAAAATTATATCTATCTTCTGTACTAGGCTTAAAGCCCAAACCAAAGATCTTAAAACTCCTTAAATTTTAAAAAGAAAAATCACCCTTAAGTGTTCGGGTAGCACCTTGGTCTAGAAAGTTCCCTCCAAAAGATTCTAAGAATTGTTACCATCAGTGTTCTGATCAAGGACTGAATTAAAGGGTCTATACCATTTACCACCAAAGTCTGTCATCTTTAAAGTTTTCTCTAAAGACAGGCTCCTTAATTTCATGCCCTAGGTTTCTTAAAGGTATAGAAAATGTTCCTATAGACTCTTGACTATACAAATGCTCTTAGTATATATAATTAAGCATTAGGATTCAGTTTATTTCTGAATTATCTTAAAGTATTTCCTTTACCCTCCAATGAGGTCTTTAAAAGTCCAAGGCTAATAAGATAACAGAAAGGCTGCACATAAGATTTTTGTTTATGGGGGAAAAAAAATGAAAAGATTATTGTTTATAGTATTAGTATTCAACAGAGTAACAGTTTAAAACAATTTAAGAATGTTCAAACACTGAGACACAAAGAATGACATTTTCTGGCACCTGTATGCCATACCCAGCTTATAATTGCTAAAATGGACAAGAAACGCCTACTGTTGTAAATGTGTATGTGTGAATCTCAAAGATTATTAACATCATAAAAAAGAGGGGTTTAGAATAAAATCCTAACAAAGTCTAATAGCTTTAACAGATCCATGTTTTACTATTTAAGTCTAAGTGAAACTTTTGACCATTATATTTACTTGAAGGTAAACATTTAAAATTGAGAAAAACGAATATGGAATAAACGTGTCCTATGAAAGCTTTAAAAGTTTTGCCAAGTAATGACATGCTTTGTTCCAACAAGCTACCACACCTTGTAAATACCAGAAATGTGCTAACACAATATAAAATACAGCCAGAGTGAACTTCCATTTAAGTTACTTAGAGAACACTAAATATCCATAAAAGAACCCTCTTGAAGATGATCAATAGCTTCATTTTCTCAGTTTTAGCAAAATTACATGGCTAAGAATGGATAGACTTATTTTCAAATCTATATGCCCAGATTTTATACTCCAAAGTGCACTCATTATTTTCAAATATCCTAGAAAATATACAATTAACCTGGACTGTGTAAGGCTCAAACGCCAATGTTCCTAACAGCAATTATAGGGAATCTTAAACTCTAAGATTTGTCTACCTGGAAGGAAATGAAACTTAACAAGTTCAAAGTTGATGTCATAACGTTAAAATATATACAGTGAAACTCTGAGGACCCAAAATCAACGGGGACTGCCTTGTTTTTCCGGGTCTCACAAGTCTTCCACCTTTCACAGGGTGCACCGTCTGACCACTTTTCTATCAGCCATTTTAGTGAAAACGATTTCGTAGACAGATAAAAAAAGTCAACTTATGCAGTTTAAAGACAAACCCAAGCCAAGGGTATGCTCAAATTGATAATCCAACTCAAACACTTAGTACTAATTATCTTACACTTGTGTAACACTGAAAACGCAAATACAGTTACATAAAAACAATGTTTTCCGTTTAAGTATTCTTTTAACTCGACTTACTTGCTCTTTGCTCTTAAAATATATAATAATCTGCAGGTCTCAGCGAGACATCCTATTGTATAACCTGTATGTGTGAATTACCCTTGATGGGAAACTCATTTAAAAAAAAAACCTTTAAAAAAAAAAATACACCCTCAACACAACACCACTCCAGCAAAGACATGAAAACTTACTTTTCCACCAATGCGCACTTGTGCCTGCAGTTTGGCAAGTTTCTCCTGATTCATGATCGTTTCTTTCATCTAGAAAAACAGGAAACCCTCAGCGAGGAATGATCTCGCTCACTCTAGCTTTCCAGGCTCATCATTTCCCCAAGACACCAGCAGGGGAGTCAAGGTCCTACACAGGCCGAGGCCTGGATCCCCAAACCCACCCCGCAAAGCTCCCAGGGGTCAGTCTGGAGCGACAGAACCGCCACCACCGCCACCTTCCCTGCCCCTCCCCAAGAGCGCCCCGGTCCTAGCAGGCCGGGAAGAAGGGTCGACCCCAAGCCTGGCGAGCACCCCCCCGCCCCCACCCCGGCCCGGCCTCGGCCTAGCCAGGGCCCGCCCGGCCCAGCCACTCTCAGCAAGCCTCGTGGTACCTGAGGCTCCTGTCCTCGGCTTCCGCCGCGAGGTGGAGGAAGAGACGGCGTCGCCTCGACCCCAGGGCAGGCGCCCCTGGCTCGACCTCGCCCGCGAGAGTCAGGCTGAGTGGGTGCGCCTGTCCGTCGCATCGCCTTCCTCTCCTCTGCCCTGTCCCTCCCTGTCTCTCGCTCCTTCCGGGAAGTTCCCGCCCCCGCTCCCGTCCTCCTCCCACGCCGGCGTCCAGAACCTTTTTGTACCTTGTCAGAGAGGAAATGGGGCCGCGCGGGGGACTAGGGCTGGCACTCAGGGGGTCTTTTGGCAGACCAGCTGAGATAGGTTGCACACGAGGGGACGCAAGATGGCAGCTAGAGAGAGACCGGAAGCGACCCAACGGCACTTCCTCCTAAAAGTCAGGAAACAGACTTTGCCGCGAGCTCGGCGCCTCAGTGCGCACGCGCGGCCCTGCCCCCCCAGCATTGTGACGGCGGCCATGGCCGGTTCCTCCTCGTGGTTCAAAGACTGGAGTCCCTGTACGGGCGCTTGAACACCCCTGGTCAAGGCTAGAGTTGATCAGAAACATCCTTTGCACAGTTAAAAGTTTCGTAAATCGACCCCGTCTCCCTCGAACGCTGATCAAGGACTTATTTTCCTTCTGAAGTCCCTGTTCATGTTTCTGGGAGGTCGCCTAGGCGCCGGCTGGGTGTTCACCTTTTAGCAGTAGTTCCTCTGACTTGATGGATCTATCCCAAAAGATTTAAAAAAAAAAGCCCATGAAGATAATTATGCTTTTCCAGAGTAGGTGGTTTGGTGGCTTTTGAAACTGGTTCAAAATTTAGGAGAATATTTTTTTAATCTCAAATGCATTCCTGAGTCCTACACCACACATACACAAAAAGCGATTCATTAGAGCTTAGTGTAGGACCTGGTGCTCTGCTGCGCTTTTGGGAAGGGGTGGCGCAGCAAACTCGAATGGTGGTTCGAATCCACCAGCAGCTCCGCGAGAGACAGATGCGCTTGACAGCCTCTGAAAACCCCCTGGAGGACCAGCTAGGAATGGAGGACCATAGCAACAACTATCACATCATTTTCAGATGGAAAATATGTGTGTGTGTGTGTGTGTGTGTGTGTGTGTGTGTGTGTGCGCGCGCGCGCGCGCGCGCACGCGTGCAAGACCTGTTAATGCACATTTCAACAAATTTAATAGGTAACTGACCACATTAAATCAATCTGTGAGATCACTTTCTCTCTTTTGCTTTAACAGGGTAAAAAAAGGTGACTCCTTGATAACGGGTTTTTTTCCTAGCATAATACCTGGTATGTATATGTGAAATTGCCATCACTGGACCCTTTCTCATCTGCAAAAACAGCAGTTTCAAACAATCTACTTAATACGTTGTTGTTATGAGCCCTCGCGTCACCTGCACCCCTACATACAACAGCCCTGAAACCAGCTCTATCCTGTGCCAACTTTACTGTCTCTGACACCCCTACCCTCATTACCCCAGTCACTGAATCCATCTCATCAATGATCTCCCTCTCTTCCTCCATCCCTTCACCCTTCCAAGCATGATGTCCCTCTTCAAGGACCCAAGGAGCAGCCTAGTTTCACCCTCTCCAGGATGAACATGTTCGTTCTCCTGGAAGTCCATGTTATATTCAACACTCTTCTCCAGCACCACAACTCAAAGGTATCAATTCATTTGCTATCATCCCTAGCCATTGTTCAGCTCTTTGGTGCATAGCAAGTAATTGTGAACACTATGGCATTTATCAGGCGCACCTTAGTCTCCACACTCACATTGTTGTTTTTCAGTACTCTGGAGAGGTCCCTGATAGCCGACTTTCCCAATGCAATTCGTCTTTTGATGTCTTGGCTGCTGTGTAGGTGTTCCATCCTTGATAGTGTTTTGGCGTGAATAGTGACTCACGATTGAGCGCAAAGAAAGACTTGTACCCAGAATGGCTTGAGAGTCTAGCTTTCTGTGTCAGATAAATTTTGCTAAACCTGTGCATAAACTTTAAGACAATCTAACAGAAAAAGTCTGCCAATAGTAAATGTGGAGGTTCCCTTCAAAAGACAACCTCAACACCGTTTTGCTGATCTTATCAGTGCTTTGTGTAATCAAAAGTTTAGCTAGAAAGAGTGCAATTTATGCAACAATAAACCTTGTATAGATTCCAATTAAGATTGATCATTTGGGGGGGTTCCCCCAGTAGTTTTCACATGTAAATCATGTTAAAACTGTGATATCACATTAAGATCACATTAAGATAACTTTAATGAAGGGATGGAGTGGGAACTCCTGGAGAAGTAGTTGGAATCTCTGGCAGGAGTGTGGCGATGTTTCTCCAGTATTATCTCAACAAAGAGGGAGAACCGGTCTATAAGATGAAGAAGTTCAACCCTTTGGGACAAAAGACCTGTTCAGCTCATCCTGAGCGATTCTCCCCGGATGATAAGTACTCGAGACACCGAATCACCATCAAGAAAGGTTTCAAGGTGCTCATGACCCAGCAGCCGCATCAGGCCCTCTGAGGCCCCTCATAGTTCACGTCTTGTCTGCCACCTGCTGCCCCTCAGAGGCTTCCCATCATCAAGTGTGCAGCCTGGGAGCCGGGAAGCCCTGGTTCCCACCCCTGTGTCTTTCTGGAGTCCATCCTCGATCATGTTTGGGGGAGGGAATCATGGTTGCATCTCCTTGAATGGGAGTATGTTTACCTACAGTGAATTTCACTGTCAGATTATTAAAGACAAAGTGACTTGAAATGGGGGGGGGGAAGGAGATAACTAATGAAAGCAGCTGTATTTCTTTTATAGAACAATGTAACTTATTTTCTCAAAATGTTGGTATTATTAAATATGTTTCCTGCGGAAAAGTATGTTTGTTGAGCTAGGTTAAACAGCAACAATCCTAGAGAGCTCTTTGCAAATCCAAAGGCTACTTCTTTCAGCTGTTTGTATACATCTGCAGCTCCATTGGAGAAAGAAGGATCTTCTGCTCTCAATTGATTTATAGCCTTAAAAAGCTAATGGAGAATCAGCTGAGTGGAGTTTGACTAAGTGGCAATGAGTAACTAATGAAGGTTGAAAAATGAACATGGGAACTATTCAGAGCTATGAAAATACTACCCAATATGCAGAACTACTGCCCTTTTTGAAAAGAATGTGTATCATTGTTTCTTTAACAATCCTCACCCCTTCCTTCATGTTATACTGTGAGATCCTTTGAGTAGCCTCATAGTTTTTGAGCCTTTACAAATGAACACAAGCTTCTGTTGTTGTTGCCACCTGGTTCTCCATTTATACACGAATTTTCAGTAAATATCCCAGGTTCTTTTTTTCTTTTTCTCTTTGGTCACACTTATGCTCATTTTAAGACTTGCACCTTGTTGAAAACCACAGTAAACTTTTTATTTTTGACTAGGGATGATAGAAGAATTAATTGATGCCTTTGAGCTGTGGTGTTGGAGAAGCAGATTGAATAAATACTATGGACTGCTAAGAGAATGAACAGGTGTGGGAAGCTGAATATAAAATTTAATATTAATAATGTGGGAAGCCAAATATAAAATTTAATATTAATAATAAACCAAATGCTATGTCAGGATAGGAGGAGGCTGATACAATTTGAAATTCACCCTGTAGCACTAAGATAATCCTTAAATGTTGACAGGGGTAGGCATTAAGGCAATCCTTAAGAGTCTACATAATTCTCAGTTTGTATTTACGAATCCCTCCCTCCTGAGAGAAGCATAAGATAACCAATAGAGAAGAATTGGGCCTTATTTACAAAAGACTTCCCCATGATCCTTTGGTTTTGTTTACTACTCCCTTGTGATTTACCCTTGTTTATCTTCCTGATGATTCTCAATAAAAACCCAGAAAGGCCTAGCATAGGAGCTGCAGTTCTCCCAATTTTTAGCCCCTGCCTTCACAATTTCTGACCTGACCCCATTCCTGTGTGTCCCTGTCTCATATGACCAATTTTGGACATATTGCAAGGAGGGACCAGTCCTTGGAGAGGGATGTAATGCTTGGGAGGGTGGAGGGACAGCACGGGAGAGGAAGACCCTAAGTGAGATAGATTGATTCAGTGACTGGGGTAATGAGGTTAGGTATATCAGATATAATAAGATTGGTACAGGTTAGAGCAGGGTTTAGGGCTGTTGTTCATAGGGTCACTATGAGTTGCAAGCAACTCGAAGGAACATAACAACAACAATAACAAGAATAGGCTAATAGGTTTACTACTTAAAAGTGAGAAACTTTTTTAAAGAGTGAGGAAATTTTGAGTTTGACTCCCATCACTGTTTCAGCTTATTTTGGGTGTGGTCAGGAAGTTCTGATTTGGATATATATTTTTTTTTAAAAAAACAAATAACTGATGAGGGATTTTTGTTTGTTTTTTCTCCCCTCAAGTTGTTACTACAATGGGAAAGTCAGCTGTGAGGGACCTCTCAAGAGTACTGAAGAGCAGGCTGGAGACTAAGGTGCACCTGATCTGGGCTATAGTCTTCACAATTACATGTTATGCATCAGAGAGTTGGACAGTGAGTAGGGATGATAGAAAGAGAATTGGTGCCTTTGAGCTGTGGTGCTGGAGAAGAGTGTTGAATATACCATGGACTGCTAAGAGAACAAACAGGTTTGTTCTGGAGAAGGTGAAGCCAGAATGCTCCTTGGAGTCAAGGATTCTGAAGCTTCATCTGACTGACATACTTTGGGCATGTTGCAAGGAGGGACTGGTCCTTGGAGAGGGACATCATGTTTGGGAGAGTGAAAGGACGGTGCAGGAGAGGAAGACCTTCGATGAGATAGATCGATTCTGTGACTGGAGTGGTAGGAATGAGTGCGTTTGAGATGGCTAGGTTGGCACAGTATAGAATGGTGTTTAGGGCTCTTGTACATTGGGTCGCTATGAGTCGCAAGTGACTAGATGGCACATAACAACAACAAGTTGATACTAACTTGAAGTCGCAGCTCAGGAATGGCAGGACTAGTCTTTTCAGCAGCCTTCCCCATGTGTTGTGAAGGCTGATGGCAAACATGGATAACGCTTTCACACACATAATGACTGTGCTTTAGCAAACCTCAGAATCATTTAATCAGCACTCCAGATAGCCTCTGCCAACAGACTTGGCAGGAAAAGTGAAATCTTTTACCCTCCTTGGTTTATAGTTCATGATCTAAGCAAAGTCCAAGACTTGTTTTCATCTCTCACCTGGACTTCAGTTGACTTCAGCAAAAGCAAAATATTTACTTAATATTATCTTTATATATTTTTTTTTATGGACCATTGAATCGCCTTCCTGTCCCCAAGAGGTACTGCGAAACTGCTAGAGCCTACACATCATTTGTGGAGCTCTGGTGGTCTAGTGGCAAGAAGCTGCATTGCAATCCTGAAGGCACAGGTTCAAGGTTACCAGCCACTCTGCAAGAAAAGGATGAGAAATCTCCTGTGTGATTAACTGTCTCTAAAAACTCACCAGAGGGTCAGCTACGAGTCAGTTCTGACTATGGTTCACAACAACAACAACACACCGTTTGACTCTCAGTTTAAATGTCTCAATAAATCTTTCTTCCACACCTCTAAAATCATCAAGATAGCTATTTTTAGTTGTGGTATTTTATTAAGTGTAAAATGAGAGATTGGCCATTTTAAGTTAGTAGAAAATAGAACTAAAGGTCTAAAGACCAGCTGCCTGCTGGACTAATACAGAGTGCTCTTTGAACATTATGGCCAATAGAAATCTTATATGTATTTCTCGTTTTACTGATGAGGGCACTGAGGCTTATGAGTGTTAAAGGTATGAAAAGAAACACACACCCCCATCTTCCCTTTATCTACTAACTTATATTCATCCGAACCTCGAAATACAAGAATAAAGGCAATAGTTCATCAATACTTATATTCAATTTTCTTAATATGAGATAGGTTGATTCCCTTCCTTTCCCCCTTTGGATTTGGCATTTGTATTTCATTTGTATTTTTAAATTTTGTCCAATTTGGGGTGAGGTCTGGTGGCCTAGTGGATGAGGAATTGTGCTGCAAACCTGAAAGCGGGTAGTTTGAAGTGGGTAGTTTGAAGCGGGTAGTTCTTCTTTGGGAGAAAGATAGGTATTCTCCTCCCACATGATTTATAGCCCCTGCAAATCACAAGTAGGGTCAGCTGTGAGTCCACAAGGACTTTTCAGTTCAATGTTTCTATTTTCTAATTGAGTGTTACGTTCACTTGGTAATAGATGGGCATGTTTTCTAACTTGGGAAAATGTGACTCATCTTTACTAATTTATTCAGTTGTAGGAAAAAGGTTGAAAACAAAAAAGATTTTGTATAGGGAGTTGGTACTTAGAAAATTAAAGGACTGACTGAGTGCACAGGGCAATTTGCACAGGGTGACACCCACAGGATGAGCAGGACAGATGGAATTTGAGTGAGAACTATTATTGAAATAATTAGTTTGGTAGTCTTGGTGGGGAGCAGTGAGTCTCAACAAGGAGCAGCGAGCCTTGGCAGGGAGCAGCGAGCCTCAGTGGGGTGTAGCAAGCCACGGCGGGACCCACCTGCCAGGAGCAAGGAGGACAGTGGGAATTTGAGTCAGGTACTTAGAAGGGGATCACTGCTGATTGCTGGACCATTTGGGACCCCTTCACCTTAAGCAGGAGGGAGTGAGACAGCTGGAGCTCAACTTGGGTGGCAGACCCATTTCTCAAGGGGAAAACCAAGACTTCCCAGTTTGCCGTTCAGGTCTCCATGCATGCCCCCCAATGCGTCTGCATGCATGCTCCCCACGCCCACATGCATCTGCCTGTGTGTCCACCCTACATGCATCTGTGTGCACCTGCCCAACCTTCTCCTGGAGCAGTGACTTCAGATCAAGAAATGGCTATTGCCTCAGGCATGAAAAAATCTGCCACAGCAATGTCATGAAAGAAACAGGCTACCTTACACCTTACACAAGCCCAAAGTAAGATATCACCCCCAAAATGTGACACAGTGTCAATAGATTTCCTGAGGCCAGAAAGTGTGATGAAACTTTCTGACACAGAATATAAAAGAACAATTATTGAATATTTTCAGTGGGTGGAAGACAAACTTGGAGAATTACAGGACACTGCAAGCAAAAACCAGGAAGAGTTTGAAAAACAATCCAAAACAATGCAGATAAAACAGAGGCTTTAGAGTCTCTGGGGAAAAAAACCAACAAAAATCAAGAAACCACAATCCAAAATATGAGTTCCAATGTTTCAGATACTGTCAACATGATGGAGGGACACATGAACAGAGCTGAAGAGATGGAACATAGAAACAGTAAAAGAGAAGATAGAATTATCACCACTGACAATTGCAAGAGCAAAAAGCAGAATCAAAAAGGAAGGAAGAAGAAGAAAACCTAAGAATAATGTGGGACATCATCAAGAGAAATAACATGCACATCATCAGAATCCCAGAACAGGAAAAAGCAAGAAAAGGCTCCAAAAAAGTTGTGGAAGAATTATTAGAAAAAAACTTCCCAGGCATAATG